CAATTGACAGAAGGATTCAAGGGAAAAGTTCATATGTATAATTCATGCATATTATATTATTTATTTATATAATTCTTCTATCCGTGATTATCCTTCTAAATGGCTTTTTTTATAGGATAGGTTGACAAACGAGCACACAGTCCACCTGATGGTAAGTATTTGCTGTGGCCCATAGACATTATTTGCGTTTATCCTCGTTTGCGAATCAAAATACGAAGGACTAAGATGGAATACCTCTTTTCCAGTAAAAAGGGTCTCCGGTTCTCTAGACTCACCATACGAAACATAGCAGTGTTAAGCTGCTATTTTACGCTGGTATTCTGTGAGAACGTGGTCCTTCCCCGGTTGAGCCGACCCAATCGCGCTACAACTATACTACTAATATAGCTGCAGCATAGCTCTACCACGTAAAAAACTGGAAACCCTAAAAGCTGGACCGCTAATAAAGAAATTTTGTGTGTTGATAAAGTTGATCAGAGAATGGTTTAGATTCACAATTGGACCCGGTAGGTGGCGTTGTTGCCGAGATTCAGAAATCAACCGTGCGAAACCCGGTATCAGCCCGGAGAACTGCCAACGCTCCAACGCTTCTGTTAGTACAGAGCTGTTTTATATATAACGCAATAACATCAGAACTTAGGCTTCGATCGCTTGTGGCGCGACGACAGAGCCGCCACATCCTCATATACTTGAAAATGTTTACTTTGAGCGATTCGTAGATTCATTATATTTCGTTTATGTTAGCACCGATATCGTCCCGGGCGTAATACGGAATCAATATTTATCAGGGCTCCGCTGAAAATCAGCGCTGCTGCAGTACCTGTGGTAGCATATGCTGAGACGGAATCCTTTTGTCATGGCATCACATCACTCACTCTTGCTGAGATTTATTTTTATTTATGTTTTTCGCCTACCTTGTATGTTTTATGTCTTATTTAATTCTAAATGTATATTTTGTGTGTGTATCGATGTTAATAAAACATTTGTCTATGTCTATGTCTATATAAGGGATATTTGTCATAGTTGCCACCGCAACCGCAGTTTATTTTTTATTTTTAGACGTTATTAAGAAGTCGCTGCTGCCCATCTCCTGATCTGTTTCCATCTGTCGCCTCTTACGACAACCCACGGAATGATATGCGTTAGTGGATATTCTTACACCGCCACTACACGGCACTACACCGCATGTTATTAATAATTGTATTAAAAAGAATTGACGAAGAAATTTGGTCACAATGGTTGTCATAATGCTAGTCTTGTGTTCTGTCGAAAAGATATTTTAGTTGTAATATACCGACGAGTCGTTGCGTCGTGCTGATTATCGTTGTCGATCGTCAAAGGAGTATATTTCAAAATAAATTTTAAAACCATCTTTGTTCAAAATTTAACACGGTTATGCCTTAAAGGAAGCTGTTAACCGTCTGCGTAAAAAAGTGTTACATTTATTGGACACAGTTCTTAAATTAATGGTCACAAAAACAAAGGGGATCTGTGGAGCGAGTTAATGAGATTTCATAATTAAGAATATTCGAGACGAAAATGTATAGAGTCGTTATGGCTAAAGGAGAGTAACTAACACTTTTACGGGCTAAGTTGTAAAAGGAAACAAGAAAAAAAAATATTTTTTATTACCTGTATTTTTTTTTGCTTATTATTCTTTCCGTTGTAATCTGATACCATTAATCGTAGTAAAAAGTATCAAATATAATTTAAAATTAAAAGATTTGTACAATCGACTTCAATATAAATTATGGATAGCTCAAAAACTATTAGTCAGTACCTTGATCAATTTTATATGGGACCGCAAGAGAAGTACCAGCTTTCAAATAAGAAAAGAATCATCAAAATAGGTTAACCTAGAAAAAGTTGTGAGGTAACACACATAAAAAACATAGAGTCGAATTGAGTACCTCCTCCTTTTTGAAGTAGTTTAGATTGCGGCACCTTTAGGGATCATCAAGAAAAAAAGCCTGCAGGCCGACAACTCACATGCAATTTCTCTAGAGTAGAAATGTTCATAGGTGACGTTGATCACTTACATCAGGTAAACCATATGCTTGTTTGCCTCTTCATCTATGAAAAACCTTCTTGTTTGCTATTCCTAAAACACAGTACACTAGAAAAATCGCTAGTGGTAGCAACCTTAAGAATTTATCTCTGCAACCGTTTTTTGTATACGCTCCAATCTACCTTCATATTTTTAAAACATCTAAAATTAAATTTCGCTCCATTACAGGAAGTAATTGTGATTCATTTGGCGCGTTGCCAACTCCAAAAGCGTTTAATAAATCATGCTAAGCTCAGCACCTGCATAATACGCGGTGGTGCTGCTTTTGTATTGAAATTAACATAAATACCTATGTGTGTGTGTGTGTATATATATATATATATATATATATATATATATATATATATAGGCATTTATGTTTATTTATTATTTCCTTTAATATATTTAATCTGCCCAATGAAATGAGAATACTATATAAATACCCCAAATAATAATAAAGGTGGCGGTGCTCCTCGATACTGCCGAGGGCTTCCATCTGGTTGGGCTTTTATTTATTTATATTTATTTAATATTTCCTTTTATATATTTATTCAGCTCAGCCAGATGAGAATACTTTATAAATACTCCATAATAATAAAAAGGCGGTGCTCCTCGATACTGCCCGCATCGTCCACCGGTTTTTTCCTTTTGCCCCTAACCCTCGGCCGTTTGGTCTCAGCTGCCGAGGGCTTCCATCTGGTTGTGGGTTTTTATTTATGTATTTAAAGTTAGCAAAAAGTTATGACTTCGCGTATATCCGCTCGTTATAAAATAGAATGATGTGTCTTACCTAGTTTGAAGAGCACCTCCCGCCCTCACTCAATTGCGTGCACTATCCCCGTCACCACTAATCCCAGCACCACTACTCCCAACACCACTACACTAGAAAAGACACACCACTGACGACAATACGACACGTGTTTACACGAGTGCCTCTACACGAGGCATCCTCAGGTGATATAGACTCTACGGTGGCTAACCGCTAAGAGACTTTAATATAATGGACTTCCGCAAAGTAACGCCTGATTCTATTAATTATTTATGTATTTATTTTATGTTATTGATATTTATGTATATTTATTATTTTCATTTATATATTTATGCAGCCCAACCAGATGAGAAAACTGTGTAAATACCCCAAAAATAATAATAATAAGGAAAATGCACCTCATGTAGTGCATTTCGAGACATGACATATTAATATTATTTATATGGTCGATGTAAGAAGGTTCCTTTGCTGCCTAGAAGTTCTTCAGGGTTGTTATCACCCTCTTACCTACTTTTGCTGCAAAGTTGTAGTTTACCCACTGCTATGCCCCGTTTCAAAGGGTAGGGTAACCAGTAGGGTAACCAGGCTGAGATATTTCATCTTAGTCATAAGGGATATGACCGTATCTTTTGCTTTCTCTAGGCAGATACAAATCTAAATCAGAAGTGTGATGCTGGCGAAAAAAAGCTCATTCTGTATGTGGCGTATGAGTTAGTTATGGGCATACGCCCTATTATCTGAATTTTAGATTCTAACACCACGTTCTAATTTTAGAGTAATCAAAGACTCTTTTTGCTGATGATGAGGCATTCCATCTTGATCTTCAGTAGTGGCAAGCATTTAATTCTTTTTTTTTTGTGTGACAAACGAGCACAAAGTCCACCTGATGGTATGTGGTTGCTGTGGCTCATAGACATCTATATCTATCTTCGTTTACGAATTAAAATGAAAATGCGTTCTCAGCTGTGAGGACAAAGATAGAATGCCTCTTCTTAATCAAATATGGATGTAGTTGTATATGGGCCATTGCATCCACTTAACTTCAGGTGGACTATGTGCTCGTTTGTCATCCTTATTTTAATAAAAAAGAAACGACTCCTTGTTATTAATCAAGGATAGATTTAGGTGTCTAGGGGCCACAGTATCGTTTAACGTCAGTTAGACTGAATGTTCTTGTCTCCCATACTTTTATAAGAATTTACTTACAGAATGATGACTTTACCGATGTCCCTCTTATAGATTTTCGCGGCGACAATTTCTGAATTCTGCTGGAAATTATTAACTGCACAGGAGATATATTGCCACAATTGCATGAGTTAACACACATACTAGCCTTCTACTATTACTCGTCCCAAACTACTAATAAGTTATGTAATGTTTTTATGATTAGATCGGAGGTTGGTCATAATGCAGTCACGTAGTCATAACCAACATAAACACAAAAACCAACAATTTGTACTTCCGCGCATATAATCTTCCTCCAGCTGTGGCTTAAACTCAGAACCTGCGTATTGGGAATGTTTATAACCACTCCGACAGGCGAATCTAACTTTACTTTATAACATAACAAGTGGTAAAATTAAAAAAAAAAATTGCACAACCGATTTCAATATACAATAATGTAGTGGAAGTCATTGTCAACATACGTATTATTAAGGATAACTCGTAAAACTACTGGTCAGAACTTGATCAATATGATTACATGAGAAATACCAGTTTTCAAATAAAAAAGAATCATCAAAATCAGTTCACCTAAAAAAGGGTTCTGAGGTTTTTTTTGTTATAGGATAGGGTGACAAACGAGCACACAGTCTACCTGATAGTAAGGGGTTGCTGTGGCCCATAGACATCTATATCTATCCTCGTTTGCGAATCAGATGCGTTGTCACCCGTACTAAGATGGAATGCCTCTTTTCCAGTAAAAGGGTCTCCGGTTCTCTACACTCACCATACGAAACACAGCAGTGTTAAGCTGGTATTTTGCGAGTGTGTAGTCCTTCCCCGGTCGAGCCGACCCATTCGTGCCACAACTATACTACTAATATAGCTGCAGCATGGCTCTACCACGTATAAAAACACATAAATTAAAATACAGTCGAATTGAGTACCTCCTTATTTTTTGAAGTCGCTTAAACTATTATTTAGTAGTAAGGTTAATATTATTTAGTAAAAATGCCACATTTTACTGAAATATAGCTTTAATCACTTTTAATAATATGTTTGTATGTACACATAGCGCTTAAAAACTACATTAAAAAAAACTGGATGTAAAATTGTAAAAATACCGTACATTGTACATTCCGCGACAAAGTAAACGTGGAATAAAAGATACAGATTAAGCGAACTATCAGACACATAATTTGACCTGTAAGTAAATATTATAATTATAATTTTCAATTACTGTACCATATTTGTTTTACATTCTGAATACTTCATGTTAAAAATATAATACACATCTAAAAAGAATGCATAAAAATTATGTGGAAACACATATTAAAACAATGCCAGTAATGTCTAGTTTAAAAACCAAACATGCTGTATAAACCTAAGTGTTGGTAAATTTAAAATTATCACTTCATCGATTCCCTCACTTAGAAAATGTATTGCAATTTGTGCAAGGAGTAAATACTGAGTGCTATTAAAATAAATAGGCTGAAATAAAATACAAATATTAGCACCAGTACAAGTCTCAGCGCGAATATAAAATTATTTCTTCAAGACGCCTTGCACTACGTAATAAAATTTACTTAATATCATTGAAACATCGTGGATATATATATCGCGGAGCTGTTTTTACATGGACCAATAAAAATCTAAGGGAAAAGTGAAAAGTAAAAGATGTCCATATATAAAAACCATCAAACTATTTTAATATCGACTTAATGTACACGTCGTAAAATAATTGTCATTTTAGGAACTATATTCACTATTGATGGAACAAGACACGAAATCGAGCGTCCAGTTCAAGCCCAAAGTTGAAAGGCCTACAGAACCATCTTAATAATGTCTACTCGTAATAAAACCCCAGTTAAAACAGCGATTCACTCGATCTAAGTCAAACTGACAGGAATACTACCTAAAATAATGTTAACTTAGAAGAAAGAAAGTTAAATATTTTAGTACACAACAATGATGGAAATCACACATAATGCAGACTTTAAAAATGGAGGAATGAATTTATGTACGCGCATTAGAAGTTATACTTCTGGAGCGAGATGGTAAATACGGTTTATGAAATTTTATTAATTGTGGCGAGCGACTTGGTCATATTTTACTCTTCTATGGTCAACTTCATACTGCCAAATATACGTGATATTTTCAAAATATTATCAACGCTTTAATGAAGTATAACTTTAAAATTCTAAACAAAATCTTAAAAGGTAGTGTCATTAAACTAAACTGTTTTAAAAACATTGCTGTTGAGATCAATAAAATTTTGTGTAACGTGTGTGATTTCATTTTTAGTTATTAGAAGAACGAATTCAGTTCGCTTTATGTGTACTATTGACGTCATCAATAGTGCAAAAGCTAATAACAATTTCGTTTCAGTCTTCCAAATCACTATCTAGTGTTAGAAACAATCTAGCATAGCTATAAAATATAATGAAAGAAAAAAACTGGAAATATCGCTAATGCTGTTTACAGGAATGTCATGAATGAAATTCAAATTTAGAATAGTCAGTCTTGGAAATGACGCAGACATATCGATGTAACTGGCAAGTTATAAACAGCTACCATCACACTGCTTTAAAACAACAGTACCATAAATAATAAATACTTAAAATATGTAACATAAGGTGTACAAGGTCATATGTTTACACTTCGTTCAAAATGGCATGTTAATCTAACTACGTTAAACTTACGTTAAAACTTGCAAATGGTCCGTTATATACTTGTACGCAATAGTAAAAAATCTAGCACGAGATTTATGTACACGAGCACCGCAAAACTAATCATCCGATTGCACTTTTCTCAGGTCATCTAGTCACTGTGACGTAACCACTATAAGCTCATTGGCACTTGGTAGTTTTAGTTTCACACAATTCACAAATACTACACTTCCGTACCGTCTTCTCCTTCATCTTCGAACAGAGGTTCGTTGGGATTTACTTCTGTGGGTGGTTTTTTCTTGGGTTTAGGCGGTGGTCTCGGAGGAATCTTTCCACTCCTTCCCAAAGTCCCCGATTGGTTCAACGACACGTTGCTTTCATTCTTTTTAGTGTCGTCTTTAGCCGGTGAACTTGGCTCTTCTTTACTGTCTGTTCTAATGTTTTTCCTTAAGGACCCAGTTTCAGGTTTTCCCTTACGACTCAAAGTGCTGCTTTCTGAAACTTGTGATTGGGCATCCGAGTTTCTGTTATCGGTATTAGTGAACAAAGTTTTTCTGGCTTCGGGTTGGGGTGTAGATGTACTCTTTGCCGTCCAGCTCATTCGTTGACTAACGGGCTCTTGAGGACCAGGCGTAGACAACTGTGTAGATAATTGTGAACTAATACTGTTTCTATTAGGTACGAAAGCTGGTGGTACTGGCGAAGGAGCCGGTTCCTGTTCCTCAATAGGTGCGTAATATAACTGATGAATATTCGGATATACTGTAGGTGTCGCTGGTAGGGGCCTATTTCTCATTGGGGAAAATTGTTGTTCGAGTCCTGTTTTGTTCAAAGAAAGTACTGAACTGCCATCAGCTGTAGTCCTTAAGCCTAGATTATCATACAATGGTTCCTGAGCTTCAGTGCTAGGAAGAATTTGGGTACTGGCCGTACTAGACCAGCTTGGCACTCTTGGTCTTCTTGGAATGGTCACATATCCTTGTCTTGGCGGAATATTTGGAGGTGTTATGGGTGCCGTAAAAGGAGACTGCGAACGAGAATAAGGTAAAGTCCTAAATATATTTTGATTCATTGCCCCACCATAAATAGGAGAGTGTATTGGACTGACAGGATTAATTTGCAAACGGCTAGTATCGGGCACTGTTGATGCATTGCTTGCTGCAGGAGATATCTGAGCCGCTCTTGCTGGGAATGAGAGGAGATCTGGCGGGTACGCACGTCCATCAGTACGTCCATATTCAACGTTAAGAGCATCTTGTGATCGTTTAATCTGTTGCTCGAACTCCAGAGACCGTTTTTCGTCGTCGTTGTGAGCTGAAATAGAGTAGAAGTATTTTATTTATAAATGAATTTATGAAAAAATGTATGTAAAATATTGACAATCTTTCTGAAATACTATCGTTAAAAGTATTTAAGGATAAACTGTAAAACTTTTACTAGTTCTTATTCAATCAAGACAAGAGAATTACATACAAAATAAATGAAAAAATTTTATCTGCAAAAATCATGGTATGAGAATATTTTAGTATTTGACTAGTGTGTGTAGGTAATGTTTTACCGTTAATAATAACAAGCAAATTATTATTTGAAATTATAAAAATGTATTCTAACCCAATCACCAGTTACTATTTTTCGTTGCACAGCACAATTTTAAATGGTATGAAAGAGATACTGCTAGTTAATGATAAAGTAAATTAAATCTTACCAAAAACCGAATCATTGTCCAAAAGGGTTTTGTTCAGTTCTGACATCTCTGTGGCGCCGCTCGTTATTGAAGGTGGCATATCGTACCTCCTCGGAGGCTTAGTTACAGGGTTAACCGCTGTAATCAAACTTTTCTCCATTTCTGGAATCACTGAACCTTCTATCAGCGCTTCGCCGTTAGATGCATCTCCTTTCTTCTTATCTGAACTACGTCTGCGACAACAGCAATAGAGAAGAACGACAAGGAGAATTAATAAAATGGCTCCTGTGCATGAAACACCGATTAAAACCGGTAGCATATTATTGTCCATTCCCGGCGGTACAACAATTCCTGGCGTGGTAGGTGCTATAGATAAAATAAGACTTTGCTCCTCAACACCACCGGGGTTTTTGGCAACACATAAATATTCGCCATTATCTGTCGTTCCAGCATCGATAATAGTCAAGTTAACCCATTTGCTGTTCTCTGAATTACTTTGTGTAATATAGTATTTAACTTCACCTTGATATCTGTATGTGCCATCAATGATTTGAGCATTCAATACCCAATTCACTTCTGGTAGAGGGTTGCCATTAACCTGGCAAGAAAGAGTTACATTTGTATCTGTTGATCTTAAAGTGGTTTTAGCTGAAGGATACACAATGCTTGGCCTGCAAGCAAAATCACTAGAATCCAACTCCTTCCAAAGTTTTCCGTGAACTTTAGCTGGTTCACTACAAGCTATAGGTGAGGTATAGAGGTTTTTACTGATGACCCAATTACGGAACGGTTGGAGATAGCAATCACATCGCCAAGGGTTATCGTGGACGTCCAAATTCGATAACGAAGTGAGCGCACTCAGTGTATCGATTTTCAAGTGCTCTAACTTGTTACCGTCGAGCCTTAAAATATTTAGTTTCGGCACATTCATGAATGTTTTCAATCCCAATTGAACTATTCGATTATTACTTAAGTCTACTTTTTGCAAAAATGGCAGATTATTGAACAGCCCATCCTCTAACTTCTCAATCTGGTTATCGTTGAGCAAAATCCATCTTATTTTCGAAGTCTCTCTAAAAGTATCGGCGTGAAGCGATTTGAGGTCGTTTTTCGATAAATCCAATTCGATCATAATTGCGAGGCCGCTTAGTCCATTCTTGTGAATTGTGATTAACTTGCACTCTCTCAAAATAAGCTTCTTTAAGTTTATCAATCGTACGTCTTCGAAAGCGTGTCGTGTAATTTCGTAAAGTTCGTTGCCTGTTAGGTCGAGTATTTGTATTTCTGCGCTCAATGTTTTGGGAATGTCGTGAAAATTTGATTCCGAGCAATCGGCTTGCTTGTTGCCGCTCGCCCACACACACTTGCATTCTTGGGGGCAGTTCGCAGTGAAATCAGCTGTTGCCACAGCAAACAGGAAATTCAATGCCAGCAGAGTCGCTAGTTTTTTATCTTCCATTTTCATGGTCGTGATCTGTAACAAAATGACACACACATTAATTTACAAGAACATTAGGATACTTTAAACAAATAAAGATTGTAAACATTTTAACAGTGGTAGAGCCACGCGGCAGTTTTTGCTGTCGCACGGATGGGCCGGCTCGAACCGGGGTGGTACCACGACCTCACAGAATACCAGCGTGAAGTAGAGGTTTACCTCTGCGTTTCGCTTGGTGAGTGCAGGTGGCCGGAGGCCCTTTTTACGGGAAATGAGGCATTCCATCTTAGTCCTCACTGGACAACGCATCTGCATTTTGATTTGTAATAGAGGATAGATGTAGATGTCTATGGGCCGCAGCAACCACTTACCATCAGGTGGACTGTGTGCTCGTTTGTCACCCTTATCCTATAAAAAAAAACATAATATAGCTATAATATAGCTGCAGCACGAATGGATCGGCTCGAACGGGGAAAGATACGAAAACAAAGACAAATACCAGCATAATGCTGCTGTGTTTCAAGTAGTGAGTAACGTTTTTTTACAGAACTTAAGTGACACACGAACATATAGTACACTTGATACTAAGTGGTTATTGCAATCCAATAACACCTGCAGCCAATTTCGAACAAAGAAAGCTACAGATGCATTATAACCTCAACAAAGATGGAATGCCTGTAATTTTATGATAAATCTTTATACCCTTCTAACTGAAACTCAGCAGTGCATGTAGTCTACTCAGGACTGATTCTTAGGCGGTAAAGGAGTCTTACCATTCCATCTTAGACGGCTTAGACCTTTGCGGTGACAACGTATCTGCATATTGACTCTTAATCGATGATATTATACAGATATTATCAGGGTGACTATAATAATGTTTACTGTTACCGTTACACTGCCTATTAGAGTCCACAGTTGAACATAGGCCTCCCCCATAGGTTGTATCATAGGGGGGATATTTGCCATAGTTGCTACGCTTGGCAAACAGGATGGCAACCGTAGTTTTTTATTTTTAGTCGTTATTAGGAAGGCACTGCTGCACATCTCCTTGCACCAAATGTTTATGATAGAAATGGGGTATAATTCGTCATAACACGCGCGAGATAGTTAAAAATAACGATAAGACTTTGTAAACGATAATAAACGTTGTATTTGTTTAGAGATCGGTACAAGTGTAAAGTATAAACAGATAAACTGGTAAGAGAAGCTGTAGGAACTATATAGTTTTATGAAGTGTTGCTTCGTTTTATTTATTAACTTTAATCATTGTTTGTTTATTGTTTTATGATCCAGGCTTTGTGAGCCGTGGTAGCTCAGGGGATTAGCTCTCGCTGTAAATTTCACAGTACTCGAGCAACCCGGATTCACCAATAAAATTGTTAATTGCAATATCAAGTGCTGATTTACCACGTGCTCGGTGGTGAAGGAAAACATCGTGAGAAAACTTGTATGTCTGAGAAATAAAAATAATATTTCGAAGACGTGAAGTCCGCCAACACGCATTGGGACAGCGCGACGGAACTTTTAGGCTTTGAAATTGAATGTTATTGAATGCTATTTCAAGTTTATACACTACTAGCTGACCCGGCGAACTTCGTAGGCGGTACGAAGTTCGCCGGTTCAACAGTCGATTCTTAATTTTTTTTAATACTTATTATGTTATTCGGGACACCGTCACTCGATTGTTTTGCCTTCCCGGAACCCCTCCACTAACACTTAAAAGTTATGGTATGGTATTAAAGTTCAAATTGACTTTTAATTATAATTACGAATCTTTTGTATGGGAATATAGAAAAGCATTGTTTTTAGACTTATTCAGGCAATTTTTTAAATATTTCTCTCCATAAGAACCATCTTCGTACTTCAAGGAATTTTATAAAAAAAGAATTATCGAAATCGGTTCAGCTGGTCTTGAGATTTGCGCTTAGCAACACATTCAGCGATTCAATTTTATATTATAGATTAGCCACTAGGCCATATCATCCCGTGGGTGTCGTAAGAGGCGACAGAGGATACAATCAGGGGGATCTCAGATGCGTTGCCGGCCTTTTAAAAAGGAGTAGACTTCTTCTTGAAGGTCCCTAAGTCATATCGGTCCGGAAAAATCGCTGGTGGTAATCAATTCCACAAGGAAGTTGTGCGAGGAAGAAAACTTCTTCTAAATCGCACCGTGGTGGACCGCCAATCATCCAGGTGGTGTGGATGGTATCGGGAGTTCTGCCGCGATGTGCGTTCGTGAAATTTGGCGGCTGGGATTAATCCGAACAATTCCTCAAAGCACTCCCCGTGGTAGATGCGATAAAATAAGCAAAGAGATGCAACATCTCTACGCAGTGCCAGTGAGTCAAGCTGATCGGAAAGAATTCGGTCGTCGACGATTCGAACCGCTCTGCGCTGGATGCAGTCAAGTGAAAGGAGCTGGGCACAGATATTGGAACAGTATTCCATGATTGTAAGCAATTTGATTAATTCGATGTATAGTGTAATCAGTAATCGTTCCATTATTAACGTACATGCTTCGTACAGATATTTTTTATGTTTTTTAAAAAACGTTACATCCATACTAGGATTTTCTCCTGTATCGTGGAGGCAGTTTACAAACATAAATTGCACAAGAACAAAATCCAGACCCGAAACAATTATTTCTAGGCTACTCAATGCTAATCTACTGTGTCACGGAGCCGTCAAAGAAGTATTGTTGTTGTTGTTTTTATTATTCGCTCGAGAGAGCAGGCAAAGGAACTATGCCATACAGCCTTGTCTTTATGTATAATTATTCTTCATAGTTCACTGCTTCACAATATGTTGATGCGTCACATTGTGCAGCCCTTGGGAGATTTTGACGGTAACTTGAGCCAGCAGGCAGCTGACAGTTGGCTTTTACATATCAAAATCCACTTCAAACTATTATTTAAACTATAATACAGGAGAAGCAAACCGCCGCCGATCAAGTTCCCGCCAAAACTCCCCGTCAAAGAAGTATTTTTGACAAAATAAATGTAAACGAACTGGATGTCAAATCGAAATATCGATAATGTCAGCTGAATTAATTGCTATAAATGATGCCCTATTATATGCTGGTACAACAGATTTTCAAAAAACAGTCGTATTAACTGATAGCAAGAGTGCTCTTCAACATATTGCTCGATGCGCCTCTGGTCTCAGAGGTGTATCGATAGCATACTATATATT